CTCATTTGATCCATTAACTCACTTTTAACTCACAATTTCTCCATAGTCAGTATACTAATTCATCTCCAACCTGGACTGTTTTAACTGCCTCACACGGTTTGTCTCTAATTTTCCCTCTTCTCCACTGTAAGTTATGAGAATGTCAATTTTCTTATCAAAACCTTCACAAGTTCCTTAGAAAAGATCTGAACTTCTGAGTTTATTCAGCCATTGAGGACCTGGTCTGACCTATTTTGCTAGACTTATTTCTTGCCACAAACATCAGCTATGTTTTATTGAGCACTTACTAGGTGATGGACCCTGCGCAAACTGCTTTATATGTGTTGTCTCATTGAATCCTCACAAAAACCCTATGACTTTGCTATCCCTATGATCTTGATTGTACAAACAAGGACACTAGGGTAAGTGACTTGCTTGGGGTTATACATCTTGCAAAAGAGCAGTGCCCAGATTCAAATTCAAGTTCAGCAGCCACCAAAGCCAGTACACTGTCCACTACACCACACCACTTCCAAAAGAACTGAACTTCTTTCCTGTCCACTACATCTTCATGCTATTCTTTGGAATTAAATGCCACCTCTGTCTTCATGGAATTAGCCCTTGGTTTCCTAAGCCAGTCTCTGCATGTGTAGTCAGGTGGTAGTCTTACGCGTGGCTCAGCGATATTCGTACATCCCAGGGTGCAGTATTTCTCATAACTCATTTGAACAGTTGACATTGGTGACATCAAATTCAGGATATGGTGAATGTGTTCATATTTGGTAGATAGCCTTCAAAGTGAATGACTCATACAAAAAGACAGTTGCAGGCAGGAGGGGGGTAGGGGGGAAGAACTTAGAACAAAAACACGGAGCTTGGAGAGGTTTATCAGACTGAGCGCTGGCTTTTCAGATGCACATTAGAGTTCCCTTTACTCTTGCTCACCTCCTCCGGGCTCTGAGATCAGGGAGCTCCAAGGCCAGAGTGGACTCAGAAAGGACTGCTCCCTTCCTCCCTCCCTCCCTCAGCCTTGGAAGTCCAGGGTGCTGGGCGAGGAGCTACTGAGAAACTGTCTCACATTGCGAGAGGCTAAAATAAGGTAGAAATGACAGTTTCGAGGAAGCAGAGGCAAAAAGGAAACCAGCTTTCTGTTTCATAGCCCATCCTAATATCCTCTGCTGTTAGGTGTTTTTAAGAGTTTGCTCACATGCTAATCTTTCCACTGTGAGAAAAGCTCTTGCAGGAGCCCTGTGGGGCGGGCAGAGAGCAGACAGAGCACTCTTGCAGCACGTCAATCAATTTCCGACCACAGATTACCAATCACACCGCACAAGGCGTTATTTGGCACTGAGCAGGGAAACATGGAAGGGGGCTTCCTCCTGAAGCCGGACAATGGCAGGGGGCGGGAGGGTCCTGCCGGTTCTCAGGAATAAAAGCTGCTTCCGTTAGGAGAAAGTACAACCCTCTCCTCTGGAGGATTGAAGACACTCAGAATGGGAGAATGGCCAGGAAGGGAGGTCCATGGGCTTGGACATGTCCTCAAGAACAGTGCTTCTTAAATGTATCAGAATCCCCTGGAGAGCTTAACACAGATTGCTGGGCTCCAGCCCTGGAGGTTGATATGGTGGGTCTAGGGTGGTGCCTGAATACTTGCACTTGTGACATGTGACCAGGTGATGCTGAAGCTGCTGCTGGTTCAGGGACCACACTTCGAGAACCACTACTCTAAAGCAACAGCCATAATCTCAGGTGCACCCAAAGAACAGATAGGCGATGTCAATGAATGACCTCTAAGAAAGCTGTCAGGGGCAACAGCCTCTGTACAATAGGATAAGGCAAGTGATGGAGATGCTCTCTCCAGGGGGCAGCTGCTACGCTAATCTGGCCCATTGCTGCCAGAACTTCTGATTTTTTTCTGATTAAACAAATAATTTAATTTTATTTGGAATCATTCCGTTTTTGGAATTGATGCAAAGTAAGATTTCTAAAAATATAAAGAATGACAATGCAACAAACCTTGTATACTCGCCACCCTCTTCAGAAAAATTTTTTTTCTCACTTTTGTAAAGCCCTGAGCTTCTCTTATGAATCCCATCCATTTCCTTCTCTCAAAGATAACTATTGCTATGAATTTTATGTTTATTGTTTTCTGGCCTTTTTTATAGGATTACTACATGTTTGCCTCTTTAAACAACATATTGCTTACTATCACATGTTTTTGACTTTACACACTTCATAATTCCACTCAGTTATTCTTTAGTGACTTACATTTTCCCCCCTCAACATTCTGTTCCTGAGATGCATCCATGTAGACAATTCCCTGGGGTTATCTTACGTCATGATTTACTTGTCCATCTTTCTGTTGGGCATCTGGGGTGGTTCCAGGTTTTTGTTTCTCTAAACTGCATCTATGCAAACTCTTGTACGTGGATCCTGGTGCATATCTGCAAATTCTCTCCAGGACACATATGTGAGGAGTGGGAGTGCTAGCTTCTAGGATATGCATATCTACAGCTTTATTAGATACTTTCCCACTAGTAGTGTATAGAGTTCTGGTTATTCTACTTTCTTGCTAGCTTTTGATATTGTTTAGTATAAATGAGTGTGAAACAGGACGCTACTGCCTCTTAAATTTGCATTTCCAGATTCGTAATGAAGTTAAGCACCTTTTCATTTGTTTGTAAGCCATTTGGGATTCTTCTTCAATGAAATGCCTTTTGTCTCTTTTAATTGCTTTAGTTGCTATTTTGTGTGTGTAAATTGGAGTATGAAGGTATTATTCCTCTGTTTTCTGGTTCTCACTGTTGTGGTTAAGAAGTCAGCTGTCAGTTTAACTTCAATTCTAGAACTTCTATCTGGTTTTTTTCTCTCCTGCTGCTGTTTATCTTTGATGTTTTGCAGTGTCATTTTGATATGCCTCAGTGTGGATTTTGTTTTAATTACTCTTCTCAACATTCTTTTTGGACTCTCTAAATTTGCAGTTTTGTGTCTTTCATCACTTCTGGGCAATATCAGCTGATATGTCTGAAAATTGCTTTTGCTTCATAATTCTCTCCTCATTCTAAATGAAATTTGGATTAGATGTCCTCACTCTAGCAGTCCCATTATTCTGCCTCCCGGCTGCCTGGATGATTCTTCAGATATATTTTCATGTTCTTGTATTTTTCTTTGTATTGCTTTCCTATCACATGCATTGGGGTTTTACTCTTTGAGATGGTATTTTCACGCCAAGAAATCCTGTTTGGCTCATTTTCTAATTTGTCACTTTCTAATTCTGAATAGTCACATTCGTTAATATATATGTACACTTTAAATGTCTTCTTTGGTTTCTTTCCTCATAGTACCTGTACTTGTTTTATATGTTTCTCTGCGAATTCCTGTGTCGGAAGCCTCTGTGGGCCTACTGTGGTGCCTTGTTTTTTTTCCTTCCTGCTCTCTTGCTCGCTGTGCCTTGTTTCTGAGCGTGATTCGTACTTGTTTTCAACCTTACGCGAGGATATTTTTCCATTGTTTTCAGAGAGAGTGGAAGGGAGAGAGAGAGAGAAACACTGATGTGACACATCAATTGGTTGCCTCCTGCGCGTGCTCCGACTAGGGCTGGGGATCGAGCCTGCAACCTAGGTACGTGGCCTTGACCAGAATCGAGCCCGAGACCCTTCAGTCTGAGGGCGGAGGCTCTAACCACTGTACCAAACCGGCCAGGGCCGATTTGTACTTCTTGACTGTGAGTTCATATTCCTCGGGTCTTTATCTGCAGAAATAATTTCAGGCTTGCATTTAAAGTGCTTTTCTCTAGGAGATTTGCATTTGTTTCCATCCATCACTGGTGTCAACTTCAGCTTAAATGTAAACTAATTTCTTTGCTTGAGGATTTAGGACCACCCAGGTAATGTAAGTTCAGGCTACAACCAGAGTGAGACCGAGTTTGGAATTACCAAGCCTTGGAAAAATGTTTTTCTTTCCTTCCATTCAGTGCTAAGGTTCAAGATAGGCAATTTCTCTTGCAGTCATCTGGATGGAAGGGTCAGGGGTGGGGAAGACTAGGTCACTTGAATTCTACTTCCTCCTTAACGCTGATGGTTTGCTACATGGGGGTCCCACTTTCATTGTGGGGTTTCTTATCAGACTTCCTGCTTCCAGTGGGCCCTGAGATTTGCTTTGTT